ACAGGGCCCTGGGACAACACAGCATGTGGGTCGAGGCTCTCTCCTGTGGAAGCTCAAAGACCGCACTGCCCCAGCAAGGCCCAGCCCTTTGACGAAGGAAGGGCCAAATTTAGCCCCCAAAGTTGCACAGTGAATCACAAGAAGAACAATGTCAAGTCACATCTCCTCTGTTCCAGTCCCAACAGGGCCCGTTGTCACATATGGAGAAGGGGCCAAGAGGCCGTGCTTCTCCCACCAAAAAGGAGAAGGTGGTCATGAGGGGCAAAGACCGGGCACACGAGTGTTCGAGAGCAGCGCCTGGCACCCAGGAGAGATTTTTTAAAAAATCATAGTCGTCGTGAGAGAGAGTTCCCATCTAACCTGGAAAACTCAGTAAGGCTTCCTTAGATGTGGTATCTGAGTGTTTCGCGTGATCGAAGGTGCTCACTGTGAGGCGGGTCATGATTTCACACGCCGCTAAGAAAGGAAACAACCATGATGGAGCGTCTGACTGGAGCCCCCCACAAAGCTGGGAAGCCGGGGGGGGCTGCGCCTTCAACATCAGGGAGATCGAGAGCAAGTCCCACCTCACGGAAAGGGGAAGCGAGGAAATACGACGCGTTATCTTGGCACTGGGTGGAGGGAGGGGGGTAAGACTCTTCCCCGAGAATGTGAGCCCCTGGAGCTCCCAGGGGCTGGGTGTCGGAATCCACGCGGTCGCCGTGGGCCGAAGGAAAACACAACAAAATACCGCCCTGCCAGCAAAGATTTTCGATTTCGAGAAATCTCAGGTGGATAGTGTCCTGGGCGGTGGAGGGAAGCAAACCCAAATCCTCACGGGAAGAACTCGATCGTAATAAGTCACCCGGATTCCAGAAATGTGAAAATGTGAAACGTCACGATGAGCCTTAGAACCTACGAAATGCGATCCAGTAAATAAAATGCTGGCCATCTGGGTCCCCATCCCGAGAGGCCACAGCATGCATGGGAGGGTGGTGTTTGTTCTCCACTCCTGCCAAACGGCACGCTGGCTGTGGCCCGGTTCACCCAGGCCGAAGAGACACATTTGCAAATCTGTGCTTGGACACAAAGTTTGTCTCAAGTAGACTCCGCCACTGCCCTGGGCGGATGCGGGAAGATGGTCCCCTCACGGCCCACGTGCAACTTAAAAAGCAATTACAGGGGCGCCTGGGTGGCGCAGTCGGTTAAGCGTCCGACTTCAGCTCAGGTCAAGATCTCGCGGTCTGTGAGTTCGAGTCCCGCGTCGGGCTCTGGGCTGATGGCTCGGAGCCTGGAGCCTGTTTCCGATTCTGTGTCTCCCTCTCTCTCTGCCCCTCCCCCGTTCATGCTCTGTCTCTCTCTGTCCCAAAAATAAATA